AGAACATTTTATTTTTTATATATATCATTCAATTTTTTTGTCCAACTATATTACCGACCACAACTAAGGCCGGTAAACGATAAGGACCTTGCTCTCTCATATTAACCAGTTTGATATGGGGGACAGACTGAGGAAAACGGTTTTGCTGCGCAACATTGTCTTTCGTTTGAAAGCGTTTGTTTTTGAGTGCCGGCTTTGACAGCTACAATAGATAATGTGTACGTTAGCATACRTATGTCAAGTAAACTAAGTCTACTCGCAGAGAAAAAAATTGGGGGTTTGGGCTGGAAGTCCAACGACCGCTGGAAGGCCGCTAAACTACCTAGTACCATTTCATTTAAGTTTTTTGGATGAGTGGGAGAGCCAAGCGAGCCTTGCCGCCCCCCTTCTCGGAAGTCTATTAACCACGTGACTCAGAGGCTGTCATGACTCTCCCCAAATAGACTGCTTTTGATTTATTCTCTTAGGGCCGCAGTATACCACCCACTAATACACTCACGACCCCAACAATATCCTTTTGGTGCTATTTTTATACAAGATTTTTGACCTCCAGCCATACATGTGGGATGGCACCCACTTATGAAACTAATAGTTAGCCCATGCGCATAAGGTACACAAAGTTACGAGAATGTCTTTCCTTCCCGGTGATTGATACTTTTACGAATAGTTGCGATGGAAAAAAATTGTGTTCGAGCCAGGAGCCCATTACTAGGTAATTACTAGGTGTTTATGTCGAAACAAATATGTTTATAATTCCGAGTAGCCAAAATCCCCTTCGGAATTTGTTTCGATGATTACACCTTTTTGATCGTGACGTTTTTCATTTCATATATGTAACACCAATGATTCGTGTAAAATATGTAACAGTTCAATGTTTCCATCGACACAGGAACGTCCGCGTTCTCAGCAGACATTTATTATGCAGTTGAATATCAAATAAGGGGAATCCCCTTACTTACGGGTTGTGATTGGTTGGTGATGAAAGTATCCATGAAAATAAATGTCCTAGTAAGAATTTATCAAACTTTAAGAACATCATGTTTTTAACTGCCAGATAGTAGATAATCTCGCACCTGATGACTGACAGCAATCGAATGAACGAGTATACAGTTTGACTGGACCTCGAAGCATTTCTTTCACAGATACAGTTGGATGGGATACCATAACTCCGGTTCGTATTATAATCCTTATTAAAAGGATATTTGATCAACACGTCCTTATGCATATGTGCGTTATTAACGTAACTAGCGGGATTTGATTTATATGATCAAGGAAACTACGTATTCAACTTATTCTTGAATAAATATGCAGTGTAAATGAAAAGTGTCCCTTATTCTAATAGCACATAGTTTAGCGTTAAAATGTTCACAACACAAAAATTGGGGGTTGTGTACAAGAAGTCCTTCGACCGCTCAGGCGCCGAACTACAAACACACTATTGGTACGTTGACTGTATAGAGGTTGACTGTAGGCAGAACCGCTCTGTTGTTTTGATAGCATTAGCAG